TCATTGAAGTGTCCCGGGTGGACAAGCCACCGGTCTTGTTGTATTTCTGTGCGCAGGTGTTTGGCTTTTTTATTCTTGCACTGCTCTACAACTTAGTTCCAAGGATCTCGACAAAGAGATTTGATTTGGTTGTGAGGTCAAAATTCAATACTCACAATAAGTAGCTTGTTTGCTTATTTGGGAAGCCACTAAATAAGCAGCTTATTTGTTTATTTTGCTACAAGTTATCATATTATCTCTCTACTTTTATACGTATTTTTTCATTAAAAAATAAAAAATAAAAACCATTAAATAAGCAAATCGCAAACAACCTAATATTATGTATTATTCAGATCTGTGAATAAATTAACTCTCACCAATGATCTGTTGGTTTAGTGGTAAAGAGCTTGTCCACCTCACTCAACACCTAGGTTCAAGTCTCTTCCATAGCGAGTTATTGGTGTTACGTCTACTTTTTAATACTCAGAGTATGCTGGAACCTTAGTTTCGGCCCCGGCGTAGGTACAATGTTAGTTTTGACAGATGTCTATGGGTATTAAGGGGTAATACTTCCTGAAGGATGTGTGAAATAGCCTATGTATACATCTATTTTTATGAATAAAAAATAGTAATAATAAATTTACTCTTGATTGCTATCCTCGAACAAACGGGAACACAACCTTCAAAAGAACATATATCTTTACTATAAAAGATCATTCTTAATTTAGGGCAACATTTGCTATACAAACATCCTTGTCTACCTACTGCTTCATAGACATGTACTACCATTTTAACTACATAAATGTGAACTTTCAAAATGCATAACATGTATTAAAAAAAAACGTGCATAACAAAAAAAAAGTGTATATAATGCATGTTTTTGGGTATAGAACCCAATATCTTAAGTTTCTTTGGTATTTACATTTTAATATGAGCGAACTTGAGCGACTCATAAAATCCATCATATATCCAATTTCGACAATCTGAACCATTCATTTTTTAGGACTTGTTGAGCAAAATATTTATGCAAAAAATCAAAATAATTAGATATCGGTAGCTATATGTTTGAATCAATTTTATAAAAAATATATATATATACGATTATTTTTTAAATTATATTTGCCGTTCATCTTTTTTTTTTAAAATACATATAATTAAAACATATAGCTACCGATATTTAATCATTTTGATTTTTTACATGAATATTCCACTTGACGAATCCAAAAAAATAAACGGTTCAAATCACTAAAATCAATTTCAAAATGAGTCTACCAAACTCAAACGCTCTCTCAAATTGGATGACAACTTGCGAGAAGCCAAACCCTATAAAAAAAAATGCTAAAAATATCTTTAAGGGTCATTGTTAGTATTAAAAAAGTGCATAAAACATATATTAAGCATATTAAAATGTGTAAAATGTTTTGAGATATGTGAAAAGTATATTGAGATTATAAATAATTTGATATTTTGTGCTTCTTATTAACAATTTTTAGAGTTGGCAATAGAATAACCCCTCCATACACACACATATATATATAGACGCTAGTGATGATGTACACATAATGTGTGTGCAAATGCATATGGTTGAGATACGAAGAAGAATATTTGAAATTTTGAAGATTTGAATAAATTATTTCAGAATGACATTTCAAATTTTCATGAGCATTTCGGAGTAGAAAAACTTGTGACATCTGCATCAAATTTGATGTTTACTTATATAATAGTTGTGGGAGGTAAAATCCGATATACAAGCCACGGGTCACTAAATTGAACTGAGCAAGGCCAAAGGCCGAGCTAGTATATCTCAGGGGAACGAGAAGGGCCATAAGTCAGCTCAGACACCGAACTAGCTACGAGCTTGGATTAAGCAATTCGAATAGTTAGACTAGGTCAGCGAACGTTCCATTAAACATGGACGTATCCAATCTTAGAATTTTGCAGACGTGGGACACGATCCCATAAAAATTGGAACATCAAGAAGGATTGACATGGATCTCTCAACTACCTAAAACAATCATAATTGGAGTCACACTAAACCGAAGAGGTACAAATATTTTGTTTTCTAGTCATTTAGCATTGATCACCAAAATGCTGACATTGGTTTGAATAAAAATAAATAAATAAATGCTGACATTAGTCCTTCCACTTTCGCTTTTATTTATGTATCACTGAGGATGAGTGGTACACTAACACTAACTAGGCATGCCACAATCACAGCCCTATATAATAACCTCCAGTTTTGGGTTAGCTAGGCTTCAACTTTGCAATTAAAATCAATATGCAAATCATATATTCAAGTCAATTAAACAAAAGCATTGAAAGCCTTGAGTTACACTAGCTTTTGTATCAGTAATAGATAGATATTCAAACTCAAGATCAAACTCAACCTATATGAGAAACAAACAGGTAGATCTTCATGTTCTTTCTTTAGATGAATATAGTATCTGTTGAAGGTCCCATAAATGATTGGATCTCAATTTTTAACAATATCAACAAAAATAAGAAAGATAATCTTATACAAACAAAATTTTTATACAATAGAAAAGAAATGGCATTTTCTGGTCTTTATTTTAAGTCAAAATATTCATCATTGTACCTAAAAGATTATAAAAATGTTATTTTAATATCATTTTGTATGAATTTTATGCATAAAACTTTTATTTGCAACTCATTTTTTAAAAAGAGAAGGTAATGCCACATAAATAAAAGTTTTGCACAAAAAGACATAAAGACTAATAACAAATTAAGTTCAAGCCTAACAACCACTACTAGCTAATCTCATAATAAGAAAAAAATAAACACTATAAAAAACTCAAACTGTTAAATTTGCAACCTCACACTATAAAATAGTACTACACAATTACTAAATTAAAAGTTTTGGTAAACCTTGTTTGGAAAAATGGCTATTTTAGTTAACTTTTGACTTTTTGACTATTTTAATTTGATTACAAAATTGTGTTTGGAAAGTTGGTGGGCTTTATTTTTTTATAATTGATTTGTTGATTGTGAGAGAAAAAAAAGAGTAAAATGAGTATGATTTGAATATGATATTTTGTCTTATTAACTATTTTAACCTATTTTATTTTTATTAACTATTTTAATATTAAAAAAAAAAAACAAACTCACTTCCTGTGGGGACATAATTTTTGAATAACAACACGTGGCCGAGATGTCACTAAAGTGCCAGCCGAGGTGCCACGTGTCATGGTCATGATGCCGAGATGATCTCGGCTAAGCCGAGGTTATCTGTGAATATGTTGGAATCCGAGATAAGCGGATAAAGGACAAGAGTTCTAGAATGAGAGAGTTTGGATAAAGATGAGACTCTTAAAGAGTTTATCCTAATCCTACTGAGAGTCCAAGATTAGCAGTAATCCTAAGTCCATTGGAGCTAGGCTTTTATTGGGACAAGGATTATGTTGGCTATAAAAGAGAGGCACCCTCATGGATCTAAGGTATGTCTTTTATACTTTTAATAGTTTGTCTAGTGAGTTAAGCACTATTGATATTGAGTACTGACTTGATCGTCAGAGTGCCCCCGGGTGGATGAGCCCCCGTCGGAAACTCTTCTTTCTGTTACAGGTCTTTCGGGTTTAATCTATTTTGCCGGTGCACTCCAGCTAGGTACCTATTTGACAGTGTAATCAGAAAATCACCCACACACTTTCCAAACAGCTACATAGTAAATGAATGCCCTTTTACCGTAGATAATTCAAATGAGTGGCCTATACCACCATTAGAATAGGCCAAATTTGGTCCAACATGCAAGTTCTTTTGGGAAATGCCCATTACCCCCATTAGACCGTGGCAATGCAGTACTATAAAAAGAGAAGCACAATGACACAACTATAATTGTGTTTGACCCATCCAGATTGATGGTCAAATTGTCATGTGCTCCCAACAACCAAACTGTCAAGAATTAAACAAAACCAAATCACAATTTTTAAAATCTGAATATTATCTGTATTATTTTAAAATGGCATCGTTAAAACTTAAAATAATAATAATAATAATAAAACTTTTTTTTTTTAATTAAAAAGGTATCATTTTGAGATACTAAAAGGTGCACTATAAACAATGCACGGATGCATTATAGAAGATTAGGATTTCAATTTTTAAAATACTTTTAAACTGATAAATACAGACAATACATAGGATTTGAATTTCAAATTTTATAATATTTTTAACCAATAAATGTTAGAATATTTAAAAATAAATATCCAACACCTTCAACAACATGGCTTCGCAAGACTTTTTTTTCTTTTTTTCTTTTCTAGAAGTTTATGTTTTGTAGGAAAGTTAGAAGTTGAAAGTATTTAATGACCTTAGAATTGTATGCCTTTGTGTATAGTTTGGTTTTTATTATGATAAATTAGAGTGACTTCTCTTAAATTTTGTATAAAAAAAAAAATTAAAAATACAACTATTATAATTTTGATATAATTATATCAATAGACTTTCCTTACTAAAAAGCTAAAACTACCAAAATTAATATAAATGGTATAGAGACACAAAAATAAGCAAGTCAAAATATACATTTGAGTATAAAAAAAATGTCATTATTATTTTTTTATTCATATAACTAATAAATTACTGATAAAAAGGGCTTAATGTTGTTTGATTAAAAACCTTAAAGGAGTAAAAAATAATTATGTCAAACTTACAGCACTTATTGCAATTTTTTCAAATATTGGAAGAAATCATATAATGCTGGCCAAGGCAGAATCTCCTATATGTGAACCAACATCTATGCAGCAGAACCAATCAGAGCACGGGTAGAGAGAGACCTTAGAGGACAGCATTGTTGTTTTGTAGCCATTTTCACCATTCTTGTATATGAAAGATTCGTTTGGTATTGGTTAATATAGCTAGTTTTTTAATATTGGGATTCTTTTATTCTGACTTTTTTAGTCTCGTTTGGTTTGGATTTTTTAGTTTTTTACTTTTGTAGAGAAAAAAGTATAATGATTATGGATTGAATGTGATATTTTGTCTTATTAATTTATTTAGCCTATTTTATCATTTTGTACTTTTTAAATCTCAAAATGATAGCCAAACCAGGGTCAAGTTACCAACATTCATGCTTAGCCACTTCAATTGTGAGTTAGTCTGATCATAAACATCTCTCTCTCTCTCTCTCATTTGGGTATTCTACAATATGGAGAGAAGAATTTGCTCGTTTTTAATAGCTACCCTGCATATAATGAGCTGGGTATTTTCAAGCTGTCCATTTGCAGCGTGTGATAGTTCTCATGAAGAAGGTTAGATATTTTCATCCCTTTTTCAATCTTCATTAGTTTTGATCCTTCTAAATTCTCTCAGGTTCTTCCATATCCACCAATTTGTCCGATTGAGACTTGATTTTAGAGACTCTATTTTCCCCTTCTCTCATGCTCATTCTTCACTACAAGCTTGCTTTTTAATCTTTGTTTTTCAGTTCCCACCTCATTTGAGAGAGAGTTGTATTGTGTCCCTCTATGTGATAAGATTCTGTGTCCTTTTAATTTTTTTTTTTCTGTTTTTACATTGATTTTAGGATTATTTATACGAAAATCCTTAAATTATTGAGAAGTATAACTTTGCCCCTAAATTATAGAAGCGTACAAATGAACCTCGTGAACTATAAAGATGTATCACTTTGTCCCCTAAACTATAAAAGTATACAAATGAACTCTCTAAATTATAAAAACGTACAAATTAAACTTCCAAACGGAAAGGGTCAAAGTAAAATATACCAATAGTTTATAGAGTCCATTTGTACATTTTTATAATTTATGGGGCAACACAACACTTCTCAATAGTTTAGGAGATCAATTGGTATACTTTTATCAATTAGAGGGTCAAGTGATACTTTCAATAGTTTAAGCAGTCTCCATGTAAATAACCCTTGATTTTATTCACCATGTTTGGTTCCATGTGACTTTTCCCTCAAAACAATTTATTTATGTTTTCAGACATTTTCTAACTATTGAAACTTTTTGAACTAGTATTGATCTAACATAATTCAAAGGTTTAATTTTGAGCAATGCTATATATAATCTTATTTTTTCACTTAAACACAAAGCAATGGGCCCAAATTTCATATATGCACATGGAACCCACTCACTTCAGTCTTAAAGTAAGAAAAGGAGGTAAACACTAAGATTATATGCAATATTTTTCTTTAGTTTTAGAATATATTGGTTTCAAATTTATTTACCCCCGTTATATTAGACTTGGGGTAGGTGTTGTGCCTTACGGCACAAAACGGCTGTTGTAAAGTCTATCGAGACATGTACTGAATCTATTTTCATGATCTGAATTATTCATATTATAAAGTTCATCGATAGATCATACATAAAAAAAAATCAAAAAATAGGTCAATTGAACATTTGTAACCCTATAACAAGACCACATTTGTTTTAAACAAGAACAAACGGTTTGTATAATTTTGATAATTTTTTTAAAAATAATTAATGTTGATCATAGGGTTACATATGTCCGACTAAACCTGAATTTTTTATAAATAATATGCTCGACAAGCTCTACAATATGAACGATTCATACTATCGAAAAAGGCTAGGGACGCACCCTCAATGTCACCTCACAACACATGCTATGCCTTCCAACTCCCGTTATATTTGTCATTGTTCGTGCACCACGTTCACAAAATATGGTTGCCTGTTGGAGTTGGAGTCGTACGTGAAGGGTTAGGTTAGCTTGATGTACATAATTAGATCTATTTTCCAACTATTTAAGCTTCGCCCAAAATTCTAACACTCAAAATGTGTCAATGATGTTGCACTAACCCTCTATGCTTTGATCAAACACAGGGTATATCTTCCACTCCCCACAAATTGTGTTCGAGTCAAAAAAGGTAATGTTTACTCTCTTTATGAAAAAATAGTATTGCTTAATTAGGATCATTGTAGATTTACTCTATTCTATTTGGTCGATTGTGGGTGTAAAGGGTCCTGAAAGCATGGAAAGAGTTCATAGGAACGAGGAGGCACATAAAGGTGTGAGCAGCCTAGGGCTTGGGTCAAGCCCACCAAAGTGTGAGCACAAGTGTAGAGGTTGCAAACCATGTAATGCCATTCAGGTCCCAACAACCACTGATCATTTGGGCCTCCACTATGCAAATTATGAGCCTGAGGGATGGAAATGCAAGTGTGGCACTTCTTTCTTTAACCCATAAAATCTCACCAAACCATAATAGAGAAGTAATTCTAAGAAAATGTGTTTTTTTTTTTTTTACCAAGAAAATGTGTATTTTTGATGGGGTTGTTCATAGTTGGCTAGAACATGGAGTTTATGAGCTTTGAAGGACTTCCACTTTGATTTTTTTTTTTTCCCCTTCAATTCATCAAATTGCACAAGTTTAAACTAACAATTTTGAATATTAGAAAACAAGAGTGGCAACTTCATGGAAAAGACATTAGGATTAATCTTTTAGATGAGTTTCAGTGGTTAAATCTGGATGTGTGCTTGAGATTTTGGATTTCAATACAAGGGCTGCCATTTTATACAAATTATGTCAAAGGTTAAATATATATGCAAATCACCCCCTTCATCAGATAATTTCAATCGCACATCACAAATATTCTCAGTTCACACCATTTATTTGTGGGAATATTAACTTCCAAACAAAAATTAATTGTTCAAATATTAACTTCCAAACAAAAACCAATAATTTGAACAAAAATAATTCGATCAATTGATTTTTGTTTGAAAGTAGATATTTAAACAACAAAAATAATGTCTGCAACAAAATAGTGTGCAAATAGAAACTTCCCCTCATATGGGATCTAGAGATGATTGTTGTTTGAAAAGTACTAGATTAGTATATTTTTTGACTTTTTACGGAAAAAAAAAATAAAATATGAGTTGAATTTGAAAATGATGTGGTAAACAGGTGATGTGGCCCAAATAAAATAATGTGCTAAAATAACATGTGTTGTTTTAGCACATACCAAACGAGCACTTAGTAGCTTTTGGAACTTTAGCACATCATGGGAAAAGAGTATATTGTATACCTTTTTATATTTTCTATATATTTGAATTGAGGGGAAACTGGTGACAAAAAATAAAAACGTACAAATCAGTATTAAAGTTTATATACTTTAATAATTAAAATGTTATACTGATTTTATAATTTTGTTTTCTGCTACCACTTGAATCAATGAGTCCAGTACTAGTACTTTAAAATAGCATACCCTTTTGGCTCTGTAATCCACAATACGTAAGCCACACAAATTGCTCACCAGTAAACAACTGATTACTTAACATAGATCTTACCTTTTGACTCTCTAATCCACCCATAATAAAAGGTAAACAAATATTTACCCACTGAAGTACAAAATACCACATATTATCATTATTTTGGATTTGAACACAAGGGCTGCCATTTTATACAAATTATGTCAAAGGTTAGATCTATATGCAAATCACCCCCTTCATCAGAAAATTTCAATCGCACATCACAAATATTCTCAGTTCACACCATTTATTTGTTTGAATATTAACTTCCAAACAAAAATTAATTGTTCAAATATTAACTTCCAAACAAAAACCAATAATTTGAACAAAAATAATCTGATCAATTGATTTTTGTTTGAAAGTAGATATTTAAACAACAAAAATAATGTCTGCAACAAAATAGTGTGCAAAATAGAAACTTCCCCTCATATGGGATCTAGAGATGATTGTTGTTTGAAAAGTAATAGATTAGTATATTTTTTGACTTTTTACCAAAAAAAAAAAAAAAAATATGAGTTGGATTTGAAAATGATATGGTAAAGAGGTGATGTAACCCAAACAGAATAATGTGCTAAAATAACATGTGTTATTTTAGCACATACCAAACAAGCACTTAGTAGCTTTTGGAACTTTGGCACATCATGGGAAGAGTATATTATATACCTTTTTATATTTTCTATATATTTGAATTGAGGGGAAACTGGTGACAAAAAATAAAAACGTACAAATCAGTATTAAAGTTTATATACTTTAATAATTAAAATGTTATACTGATTTTATAATTTTGTTTTCTGCTACCACTTGAATCAATGAGTCCAGTACTTGTACTTTAAAATAGCATACCCTTTTGGCTCTGTAATCCACAATACGTAAGCCACACAAATTGCTCACCAGTAAACAACTGATTACTTAACATAGATCTTACCTTTTGACTCTCTAATCCACCCATAATAAAAGGTAAACAAATATTTACCCACTGAAGTACAAAATACCACATATTATCATTATTATTATTATTTATTTTTTATTTTTGTCATAGAAGAGTTTGCACAAGAACAGATCAAATTCTTAGGGCATATCATTGATCCAGGACATCATGGATCAAGAGAAGGTGAAAGCTATTTGAGAACCCAATTTTTTTTTTTTTTTTTAAACGGTAAAGTTGCATAATGTCATATTTAATTTCTCATCAAACAAACCCATGTCATTGAGAGAATATGAACCCATTTATGTTGTGTGGATCACATGCTTACTGATGGGTTTGCCAGAACTCACCTAGCTTAATGGCAAGGCTTGAAGTGGTCCTTCGTTATCACTCTGAGCAATTCATTTGAGGGTGTGGCAGTACTACTAGGCACTAGCTATGGCCTATTTGGAGGGAGAGGTGAAAACTAGTGCAATGGACCCGGAATTTTAATAAGAGGGGCACTTAAGTGTAATACTCTTTTGAAAAATGATAATTATTTATCAAGTGTTACTAAAAAATTAGTAAGAAAAATTAACATTGATCTGATCAAAAGTTAGAAAAACTTGCTCCTGAAGCGGAATTTGTGATTGGAAAAGGACAATGAAAGTGAGAACCATTTCCGTCATGCAGTCCATCTGAAAATCCATGAAATAGTAGAGAAGCACGAAGATCGGATGGGATGGCTTGACACATCAAAGGTGTGATTTTTAGATGCATGACACATGGGAGGGGAATGTGAAACGCTACAACAGTGTTCATGACTAAGCATAGGTTTTCCGTTTTCTCATCTCACTTTTGAAATATAAGCTGCTCATTAGAAATATATACATTGCTTATATATTAACCATGTAGTCAACATTTACAGCAGCAATCAACCAAATGTGGCAATGCCAAAACCTATAGACACCACATTTCATTGAAAATTTTACAGGAAATGCCGTCTCAATAGTAGCTATTCTGCTGTAGGCCAAGCTAAAGGCAATGTTCTTGCATTGCATAGACTAAACATTTCAAAAGATACTGAACTTTAGAAGTGCAAATCCAGCACCCAAGATTGGGAGCTCAATGACAGAGGAGAGAACAATGCCTTCGAAAGGAGAGTAGGGCATGGACACCCCGAACCATACAACCTATCTGACATCCAACATATTATAGTATATTTTTCTTCAAATTAACCTTTTCACAACACAATTCTATGAGCATTATGACCCATTATTTTCTTCTATCAATCCAAAACTCAACTCCACCTAGATTTTAGTTCAATATATTTGAATTTTTCTCTATTAAAGAGAAATTTTAATGAAAAACATAGAAAAATTTATGGGAATGTGTGTTCCAAAACGTAAATCGCTATCTGGTAAACTCCTTAATTTGACATCCAACATATTACAGTGTATTTTTCTTCAAATTAACCTTTCCACGACACAATTCTATGAGCATTACGACCCATTATTTTCTTTTGTCAATCCAAAACTCTTAGATTTTAGTTCAATAAATTTGAATTTTTCTCTATTAAAGAGAACTTTCAATGAAAAACATGGAAAATTTTATGGGAATGTGTGTTCCAAATCATAAATCGCTAGGATGTTAATGTTTTCTAGTAAAATTGCATAAAACAAACAACAAACATTACCCGCAACAAAGAAACTCCAGATGTCTCTTGACATATAGCAGCCACAAGAAAGGCGGCATGTTATGCCCTGCTCAAAGTTGAAAAGCATTTACACCTCACAGAGCCTTCTAGCTAAGAAATTTGTTTCAAAACAAGCAGAACTCTCAGAGAAAATATTTATGTTTTGACATCGTTGGTGAATAATAGATCTCAACAAAGAGGGGAAAACCCCTGTAAGGCCCCCTAAATGAATCACCAACTCATGACAGCAGGAAGCAAGTTTGTCATCAACTACATAGGACGTACCAAAGTTGTAAAAGTAAACATCCCCTTCCACAAAAAAATGAAAAATGAAAAATGAAAAAATAGAAACAAGAAAGGAATAAAGAAGGGGAGCCAAGAGCCTAGACAATTAAAATAAAAAGAAATTGAAGGGCAAGAAGACTTGGGAATGGTAATTTACTGATGACTAACGCTAACACAATCACTAAATTGTCTCAAATACACACAAAGACAATGACCAAGGTAGAATTCAAGCCTAAGTCCACATGACAATTATTTAGAGCTGGCATTTTCAATGAATAACATTGTATTACTGTTAAAGATGAATAACAGTCTATTACTGTTAAAGATCAATAATAATTTAGAAGCACAAGAATCTTCTATTGTGTTATGAAAAAGAATATGCATGATGAATTAAAAACTTGAGCAAAAAGCAATGAAACTTATAGCTACCGAGTATATAGTTTCATAAAAAAAAATAAATAAAATATAATAATTAATTAATTAAAAAGAAAAGGAACATAGAACTGATGCAGACCTCACAAAATCCATTTAAAGATGCATTCAATTTAAACTGACAGGGCAGAAAATATTTTTGCTGAAAGTGGAAGTCAATTTTAGCTTTACGTAGGAAAGGTAGAGTGATCCAACACCTCAATGATTTTACTTAAATGTAATTGGATGAGCGAAAAGGTTTTTTAACCAGTTAATTGAGATTCTAAGAAAGGAAGAATTTTAAAAATCTTGCTTGCTTTTCCCTACACTGCCACTCCATTTTTCTAATGTTCAAGTGTGTAAAAATGTAATTCACAACCCGTAATAGGATGGGCACAGGGCTCTAACGATAGATGTGTCTGGGCAGAATTTATGGGAGATAAAGTCATCACCTCCAAAGGTTGATGGAGTTTATTCTCAATTGTTGAATACCATTTTGTACACATGGTGTCACTTAACCATGAAGGAGGACACATGGTACACATGGTGCATCCACACATGACCTAACCAAGAGGGACACATGATCTTGGAAACCATGAAGGACACATGGCCTTGCCAAAGATACCTATATAAATGCATACTCAACATTGTGAAAAAAAAAACACCAAATAAAGCTAAGTTTTCTCTCTATTTATCTATCTTGAGGTTACCATTTTGAAAGCCTAGGAATTTGGAGTGTGGGTAAAATATGTGACTCTAGTAGCTTTTCAATTGACGGAGGTTTTCTAGACGAGGCTCGTAATTCAAGCATCCAATCCAAACCATTTGTTTTCGCCTCATATGATTTGCATGCCATAGATTAATTTTATTCATGTTTAATTCAATATTATTGAATATCATGGCATGTTAAGAAGAGTTTTTGGAAAACTCCATAAGAGCAGATTTTTTTATCTTAAAAATAGTATAAAAAAAATTCGTTTTTATGTTACTAAAATTTACATATTTTGAAAGTAGTCTTTGTGAGCTTTCCATCCATATAAAATGGACTTTAATCGGAGTTATATTGAAAAAGTTAATGA